CAGGCTGCCTGCGCCCGGCACCCGCTTCCTCCTGCGGCACCCACGGGTGGGATCGCCGGGGCACGGGGCCGCCCACCTTCCCTCCGCCTGGAGCTCATGCTATTTTCTAATTAGTGTCTGCAGAGGGGTCATTAGTGAGCTCATCACTGGGAGGAGGAGGAGGGGGAAGGGATTATGGACACATACGCTTTGCATTAACCACCATCACCGGGATCTTTGCAGCCTCCTCGGGGAGGGGGGAGATTTACACAGCTGGGAGGAGGCGCGGGCGGGCGGCTCTGCCTTCCTCTCCCAGGGGAGGATGAGCCCGAGGAGAAGAAAGAAAAGCCGGGCTTGGCGAGCCACAGACGTCATGTGTTTACAGAGTTGGGTGGGAGGGGATGGAGGTGGCTGGGGAGCAGCTGGGTGAGGGGGGGGGGCCTGGGGGGGTAGCCCCGGCTTCCCCCTTGAGCCTTTCCCTGGCTCATCCTTGCCACGTTGCTTTGCTGTAGGGATGGTGCAGGTTTGTCCCCTGGAACCCATTTTACAGATGAGGACATCGAGACCCTCAGCTGGGTTTGCTCAGCAGCTGCTCTCGGGGGTGGGTGGGGGCAGCAGGGATGAACCCCAGTGGGTTTTTCCCTGTCGTCCTTCCCCTCGATCCTGACCATGCTTTGCCCACCCTGCAAGCGTCCCCTTTTAGCCAGAAGAAAAAGAAGCAAAGCAAAGCAAAGGGTCGTGCCCGGGCTTTGCTGGCATCGCAGGCAAGGGCTGAGCTGGAGGTGGGTCGGGGTGCGTGCCCACCAGAGCCCACCGGTCCCCCCATCACCCAGTCCAGGCGACCTTTTGAACCAGGACAGGAATTCAAACCCCCATCCTGACATGGGCCCTGCTGGCTTCTGCCCATCTCTGTTGCATTTAATAAAACAGGTATTAGAGCAGCGGAGTCTCATTTCAGCCATCGGGCTTGAACGGCTGCCGCCTCATTTTTCTGCGGAGCTTGAGGGAGAAGTCGCAAGACGTTAAGCCCTCGTTATAAGCGGGGGGGATTTGAGGGGCGTTATTGGCATCTGCAGGACATAGCTTGGCTGGGACGAGCCTTGGAGGAAGCCGCAAGCCTCCTGCCATTGCAGAGGATGTCCCTTTTGGGTCTGGCTGCAGCCCAGCTATCAGCCCCAGCCTGCCCCGCAGGTGCCCGGGTGTGAGATGATGTTTTCAGCACCTCCTTTCCAAGGTAGCAGGTTTGTGGGGTGCTCCTGGGCACTTTCCAGCTGGAGCTGCAGCCCTGCTTTGTTGTCTGAGCATCCCCAGGGATTGCAGCATCTCCTGGGGCTCCCCTGGGGCTGGGGCATGGTGCAAGGCACCCGCACTGCTCGGGCATCCAACCATCCATCCATCCATCTCTTTGCCCAAAAGCAAGGGGTTTCAGTGTGTGCCGTGCCACTCAGGGAGGAGGGTGGTGCTAGGGGGGGCCGGGGCTGGGAGCCCCCCGGTGCGTGCTGTCATCAAGCCACTATTCCAGCGTTTCCAGCGGCTGATGCTGGTGGAGCTCAGCTTTCCCCTCTGCCGCTGGCTCTGCAATGCTCGAGTTCACGGGAGGTTTTCTTTGGCACGGGGCCCCTCGCTCCCTGGCCCGACGCTGTCGCCCAGCCCCAGCACTGCGGGCGGAGGGGGCAGGGGGGGCTGCAGTGGAGCTTTGCCTCTCTGCCTGAGCCCGGCATCCTGGTTCTCTGGCACCTTGGGGCACTGGCAGGTTCAGCTTGGACCACCATCCTCAAAAAGCCACTGGAGAGAGCAATTGGATGTTGCTCTTCATTAAATGAGGAATTTGCAGGGATAGAGCAGGAGCAGCCCAGGGCGAGGGCATCGCCGCTGCCATGGGTGTGCACTTCCAGCCCCTTCCAGCCTTCGTTCGTTAAACCAAAACAGGCACAGGGGCAGCAGAGCTGCTGGGGATTTGAGTCTCTTTACAAGTAATTATCCCTGCTCCAGGCTAAGGTTTCCCAGCTCCCCCTAATGAAGTGCAGGCATCCCCAGCCAGCGATGGGCTCGGAGGGGCTGGGGGTGGGGGACGGCTGCAGCCGGCGTCCTGGGTGCTTTGGGGGGTCCCAGGACAAGGAAAATCCCTTTCTCTGTGGTTTGGTGTTCCCTTCTGTAAAATGAGGCCAGACTTTTTTTGCCCATCAGCCGGGGAAGCTGTATGGCCTCTGCACCCTGCTCCTTGATGTGCTTTGCCTTCACCCCCTGCAGCCCTAAAGCATCCCCCTTTCTCCTAGCTGGGGGATCCTGAATGCAAAGCAGAAATAATTTGCTATCTAGCAAATCCGTCACCCCAGGTTCCCCATCCCCTCGGCGTGCCATGGAGCTGCCCTCCCTCACCCTCTGCCACCTTCCCTTTGCAGACCTGGATGAGTGCTCGGAGGGCAACGGCGGCTGCCAGCAGACCTGTGTCAACATGATGGGGAGCTACGAGTGCTTCTGCCGGGAGGGCTTCTTCCTCAGCGACAACCAGCACACCTGCATCCAGCGTCCCGAAGGTTAGTGCATGGCAAATCCCCGCCCCAGGGCACCCCCCAGCCCCTGCATTTATCATAGAATCATAGAATCGTCTAGGTTGGAAAAGACCTTTAAGATCATCGAGTCCAACCATTCCCCTAACCCTGCCATCCCACCACTAAACCCTGTCCCTAAGCACCTCATCTATCCTTCTTTTAAATACCTCCAGGGATGGGGACTTGACCACCTCCCTGGGCAGCCCATTCCAGAGCCTGACAGCCCTTTCGGTGAAGAAATTTTTCCTAATGTCCAACCTAACCCTGCCCTGGCACAAGGGCAGGTCTGTCCCCCGTCACCCCTGGCCACCCCTGCACGGTGCCCAGCTTTGGGTGCTGGTTCATGACCCTTCTTGGCGTTGCAAATTGAAAAGCAGATTTATTCTGAGCTCATTGGGAGAGGATGCTGTGGGGCTAATAAACTTCTCCATAACAAAACCCTCGCAAGCCCCTTAATCAGGCACAATAATGCTGGAAGGAGGACATTAATCCTGTATCCAGAGCGTTTTATTAAATAAAAGGTACTCGGAGATCCTCACGCCGCCCTGCAAGACTCATCTCCTCCTGCCAGGTCTTGCAGAGCACCGAGCCCTTCGTCTCGATATCAGCTCTAAATTGCTGCCGTCTGGAGCAATCTCTTAGCCAAAATAGGAGGAAATGAGAGATTTTTTCGTCTCTGCTGATTTTTATCTCCCCTGCTTGGCAAAGCCGGCTTAGTGTTTTTGCTTTCCTCCCTCCCAGCTGCGTCGGTCTCTCCAGCTCCCTGGGGAATCTTGCCCAGCCCAGGATGGCTCAGCAGCCACGGTGGCATCTCCCGCATCCCCAAACCCATGTGTGCCCAGGAGGGAAGAGCTGGCTGCTCCATCCCCCCGGTGACACCGGTGGGTGGCCCCTGCTGGGAACAGGGATGCAGGTGCTGGGTTTTGAGCTGGTTTCTGAGCTGAACGGCTGCACGACGTTGTTGGCCCGGGGATGTCTGCGTCTCTCTGCACCCTGGGATTGATTTTGTAGCTGCTATGTGGTCCCCAAGCTCGGGCTCAGGAGCGGCTGCTGAGGACAAGGGGTGGGAGGGTTGCAGCTGGTCTCCGGGCTGTGAGCCTGGAAAAAGTGGAGAGCCGAGGGCAATTTGGGGTCCGATGTTAAAGCCTGTTCTGACTTTACTCCTGGCTCCTTGGGCACTGCCAAGGCAGAAGCATTCAGTATTAGAGAGCTAAACCTCAACGTTACGGCTCCTTCCTTCCTCCTGGGGTCCTTGCCAGCTCCTTGTTTCTCTTTTCCTACCCTGGCAGGAGGCTTTCTCCTTTCCCTCGGCTCTTTCTCCATTTCTCAGTCTGCCTCTTTCTTTCCTCTCTCCCTCCTGCTGCAGAAGGGATGAAATGCTGCTGGGTTGGGAAACCCGGGGACGGATTCCAGGACCCCTCTCTGGCAGCACTGCGACCCTCTCCCTCACACTGGCCAGTCCCTCCCAGTGAGGAGAGGCCAAGGGTTGGAGCTCACTGAGGTGTCGGTGCCTTTAAAGCCCGTTATGCTCAGCCTGACGATGACAGTGGAGCCACCGAAAGCAAAATGGGCCAGCAGGGTCCTCACACGGTGCAGGTGCCAGAGCAGATGACGATTTTGCAGGGAGGGGAAGGATTAAAGGGGGTGCAAAGCTCAAGGGCTCCCTTCCCGGGCGGTGGCTGTAGGCACCGAGGCGTTGCTGTGTCCCAGCATCGTGCAGTGGAGGAGGATGCCATGCCCAGGTGGAATCGCCTGGGGAGTTTTAGCAAAACAGCGTGCGGCCATCCTGGCCTGGAGGGGAGCCAGGACACACGGATGCCGGAGCTTGCGTCCCTGCTGGGATGTGCCAAGGGATCTCTGCAGACTGCCAGCTGCTGGGATCTGGCTTCTCTGGAAGATGGCATCTCCGGGGAAGCAGCGGCGCAGCAGGGCAGGGTCAGCCTCGGAGGTCTCAGTGTCCGCCATGGTACCCAGGACATGGCAGAGATGCTGCCAGACAGTAAAGAGCAGCAATAAAAAAGAGGGGGAGAGAAAAGCTGCTGTGCGGAGGAGAGGCTGAGGGTGCTTGGCCGTTCCCAGCATCCCTGGGCATCCCGTGCCCCAGGGGGTCTCTGAGCATCGCTGGGTGGAGCACAGGGGCTCACAGCAGCATCCTGGCCCCGGGACAGGCTGGAGGGTGCCAGGGGGATGGAGCAGGGCTCCCCGCAGGTTGGGGTTCCCAGCCCAGGCAAGGAGGCCAGGGAAGGGAGGGCTGGTGTGGTTGGAGACGGGAGGTTCTAATTACAGGGGGTTTGCCTGCCACTGCAATTACAGATGATCGCCCTGTCCTGGAGTGAAGCCAGGCGGGATCTGCCGGGCAGGTGATGGGGAGATGGGGAGCAGGCTGGGACACCCACAGGCTCCAGCCTCTGTTTTTTAACCCTTCCTGTGCATGCTTGGTGCCTCTCAGCATCCTCCTTCGAGGTGCCCTGACCCCATAATCTCCTGACCTCACCCTCCTGCCCCAGGCTTTTGGCAGCCCCTGGGCTTGCAGATGCGCCTGGTCCCTGATCCTGACACCAGCATCGCTCACCCCACGGTGGGCTCAGCACCAGGTGCCTGGAAAGGAGCTGACCCCTTCCCTCTGCCAGAAAAAGGCCCTGAGCAGGCAGTTGCACCTCCTGGAGGGCCATCCCCAGCTTGCTGTGGGTTTTGTTAAATGTCTCATAAACTCCCATCAGTGCCCTGTTTGGCAGCTGCCGAACCTGGCTTTCTGCAGCAGGGTGTCCCCATGCCCCAGGAGAGGCTGGGGCGGGAGGGGGCTGTGGACAGGGCAAAACAGCAGCTCCAATAAAGGGAACCTGCAGCTCCCCAAACCCTCGTTCCCCAGGGGCCGCCAGCATGCGAATCCTCCCCGTGCTGTCAATGCACCCTGTGGTTTACGGGCACAGCCCCGGGGCTCCCCTGCCGGCAGGCGGCTCTGCCCCTCCAAACCCTTCCTTGCTTTGCTGGGCGATGCTGTGGCTGCCTGCCCGGGGGTCTGTAATCACACCCGTGCTCACCCCATCCTCCTTGTCTTCCAAAAAGGAGCTGCGCCTCTCTGTCCCTTCGGTGCCGGGAAGGGCTTGGTGGGAAGCAGCAGCTTCCATGCTACGAGGCATGGGAGCGGGGTCTCACCCAGGGCGGTGGGAAGGAATCAAAGGTTTGAGGCTCCAGGGTGGCTTTGTCCACCTTCCTGAGCAGCTCTGTGCCACCCTTCGTGGCATTGCCTGGGCTTATCCTGTTCCCCCTAAGGTCCTCGCTTGCGAGGTTTTCCCCTCGTTGCCCCCATCCTCGTCCCACCCCAGACATCCTTCTGCCCGGCGAGCTTTTGGAGCTTTTCTTTGCTTCCTTCTCTCTTTTAGAAGGAATGAACTGCATGAACAAGAACCACGGCTGCGCCCACATCTGCCGGGAGACCCCCAAGGGGGGCATCGCCTGCGAGTGCCGCCCCGGCTTCGAGCTCACCAAGAACCAGCGCGACTGCAAACGTAAGGAGCCCTCCAGGGATGGGGATTCGGCCTCCCGGGGATCCCTAACCTTGTCCCAGTGCTACAGACCCCTCCTGGCCCTGCTGCAAAGCCCTGACCCCCCCGGTACCAGTTGATTTATCGAGCCTGAAGCCCTCTGGCTTCATTTTCCTCTGGCATGCCTGGCTCTGCCTCCATTGCCCTTGCAGACGATGGTCCTGGCGTTCCCTCTGCCGTGTCCCCGCAAGACATCGTGCCCTTACACCGAGCGGGCTGAAATGGCAATTAAAGGGGATCCCAGAGGTGCAGCATCCCCTGTCCCAGCGTTTCACTTTCCCAAGGGGGAGATGAACAGGGAGAGTGCGATCGGCACAGGAGGAGCCCAGGAATCCTCTCCCCGGGGGATGTGGTGCACTCAGCCTGTCTGATCTCCTGCCAGCATCTCACTGGCACTGCCAGGGTTATTAAATAGATATGTGTGTGTTTATGCAATTATTTTTATTTTGTTTCTCATTTGCTGTCTGCAGCAAACATGTAAAATTGCTGATGAAATGGCGTTTTAATCCTCTGAGCCTGTTATCCCTCCAAGCTAAATGAACAGCACACCTTGCCCCCCGGGGAGGGCTGGCAGGGATTCCCAGGAGCACCTGAGTCATTCCAGAGCTTGGGAAAGCCGCGCCCTTCCCCCGTAACACCAGATCCAGGGTCAGGGGCAATGAGCCCACCGGTCCCCCTTCGCTCGGGCTCCGCCGGTGGCATTTAGCAGATATGCAAAGGGAAGATGCAAGAAACCACGTAACAGTTTGCATCTGCCAAGATCCCGCAGGGAAAGTTGAAGGGCTTTAGGAATTGTCCGGGAGGGAGGGATCTCTCCGAGGGTACGGACAAGGTTTTTCCAAGCTGGTTTTATGCTACTGGGGGGGGGAGGAGAGGGACCGGGGCCCTGGGTGACGGCTGGTGCTTTGCTTCCTGCAGTGACCTGCAACTACGGGAACGGGGGCTGCCAGCACACCTGCGACGACACCGACCAGGGGCCCAAGTGCGGCTGCCACGTCAAATTTTTGCTGCACTCCGACGGGGTGACGTGCATAGGTAGGGGCGAGCCGTCGCCTGGCTGTGGGGACGTGGCTCGGGGGGCGGGATGGTTCGTCTTCCTCCCCGGGCAATCTGCTCTCGGGCTGTTGAAGGGGGGGGGGGTTTCAAGTTTTGGGGATGCGGCGTTTCCTTTTGCTGAGATCGGAGAAACTCGATGCGTGTGTGAGGGATGCTGCGGGTACCCACGAGGCTCAGGGATGCGTCACTGCTCCACTGCGGGGAGCAGAAGTGGCTGGGGAGATGCTTGAGGGGACGTTTGGGGACAGGTTGGTTGTGCCGGGGTGCGGGCAGGGGTCCCTGCCTGCCTCCGTGCTGCTGGAGGGAGAGGGGTGAGGACGTTCCCACGCTAGAACTTGTCACTGTCACCGGCAGCGTTTGGGGAGGGACACGGAGGGGACAGATTTGGCTGTGGCGATCCGTTCCGACTTGGCACCGCGGGGCCTCGGCTCAGGAACAATTGTCTTGCAGAAAAAAAAAGAAGAAAAAAAAAAGAAAAAAAAAGAAAAAACCAAAACCCCAACAACCCGACAACTCAACCACCCCCAAAATTGTCCTTTTCCTGTGTGTGTTTTCAAATTGTAAAACATCAAACAGAGATAGAAGTTTTACTGGTTTCATATGCTTGTGCTGTTTAACAGCTGATTTGATTTAAAAAAATGTTACATTCGGGGAGTGATTAAGTCCACAAATTGCTCGAGACATTTGCGTTCTTATTGCAAAATAAAAAAGAAAAAGGAATTGAAAGCAAGAGAGAGGTTTTGGCTCCCCGTGTCCCCGCTGTGCCTGAACAGAAAACCCTCTGCGCTTTCCAAAGACGGTTCCATCCTCGGGGCGAGCGGTGGAGGAGCCCCCCCAGCCCCCGGCTGCTCCCCGCTGGCTCGAGGGGTGCTCAGGGCTGAGCCCCAAGCAAATCCCTCCTGCCTGGCAGCTCAGCTGCTGCCTACCTTAGTGTCACCACTGTCACCCAGCCCGCTTCCCTGATCCATCCCAGTCCCCCCCGGCTGCTGGCAGGCACCCGCAGCCCCTTGTCCCCGTCATCCTCGTGTTTGTGCCGCAGCCGTTGCATCCCATCCCACCCGCCGAGGACCCTCCCATGGGGTTATTGCTGTGCCCGGCGTGGGGAGCGCTCCTCCCACGGGGACTTTGGGACCCCAGGGTGCGTCGGCTCGTGCGTTCCTCCTGGACGGAGGTCCCTGCGCGGGCGTTGTCTGTGTCAGCGTGAGGTCTTGGGGAGGTTTGGCACCAAAATGATGCTCCTGACCCGCTGGATGCAGGGGTGGGAGAGCAGCTCCCCAAAGCAGCTGGTAATTTGGGGGATGCTCAAGAGGGGTCTGGTTGCCAGAGGGTCTCAGTGCTTGGACCCCAGGTAGTGAGGGTGGGATCTGGGGGTTTCCAAAATCGCTCGTCCTTATGGCCTTGGCCAAAATCTGCCCCTTCGTCCCAGCGCCGTGTCTGCTGGGGAGGCATCTCCCACTGGAGCCGGTACTCTGTGAGCTCTCCCCTCGCCCGCCTTCCCAAGGAAAATTAAACACCGCGATGGAGGATTTTAGGAGCAGAGCCAGCCCAAACCCCAGGGGCAGCCCCGCAGGGATGCCCAGCCGGCAGATTTACAGCCGAGGTACCTGCTCGGATATTTATAACCATCCTTTCTTGTTTTATAGCCAGGGCTCAGCAAACAGCCCTCCCCCCTCCCCGGTGCTCCCTCCGCCGCCCCTTCCCCATTTCCTCTGAAATATTTCATCATTTCAAGGGGAATAAAGTTTCCAGCGAGGGGAAACGCAAACTCGCTCCCCGGGCCATGGGCTTTGAAATTGTACGCGGTGTGTTTGATGGGCTGCCGGGACAGGCCCCTGGTCCAGGTTCCCTTCAGATCACACCACGCGGCAGGAAGCACGATCAGCCCCTTTGAGTGACAGTTTCATTAGGCCACGGCCGGTGTTTTTCATTTTTCCGCTTTTTATTGCTGCTTTTAAAAATGCAGATAATGAATAACATGCCTCTGAGCAAAGCGGGGCCAGCCCTAATGGCTCCCAACATGTCTGCAGGCTCAAGGGGGAGGGGGAGCTGGGAGGGGAGGCCGATGACCTTATATATTTATATTTATGATCGAAAAACAGCCTTTTTTTTTAAAAAAAAAAAAAAAAAACTCATAAAAATCGCCCTCCAGCAGCCCAGGATGCGGCGCCCATGGGGAGATGCAAACCAGGCTGTTGCGGTTGATGCAGATTTTGGCTTTCCAGGAAGATTTGCAAGCCAGGGCACCACTGCAGCTCCCTCCTGCTGATATTCGGGGTGCAGCGGGGGCTGTCGCCGTTCCCCTGCTTGTGACAAGCACCGGCAGAGCGGGGGGTGGTGGGTGGGGAGGAAATATGATTAGATGGAGAAGGAAACTAAACCCAGCTCAAGTTTTATGGCCGATTTCCTGACCCGCGCTCAGGCGGTTTGCGGCGGCACTGCCGATGCTCCCCAGCTTTGCGAAGCCAGCAGTGCTGGGAGCCGGGGCTGCACCGGACCACGCTGCTGGGTCCATGCTGGGAACACCAGGGCGATGGGACCACGGCATGGGAAGGGGAAAGCAGAGCGCTGGGACATGGGGCGGGTGGCCATGGATATGCCATGCATGCTCTTCCATGCACGTCAACCTCTCCAAGGAGGACACGTGGTCCCTGCAGAGCCTCGGCATCCCGTGTCCTGGCTGCTGAATCCCTGCTCTCAGCCTGAGCCCCCCCGGACAGCGCAGGCACAGCCGGGGGCTGCGTTTCCACACTTTTTTCCCCTTCCACCATCCTCCCCTCTGCATGGACCCGGCGTCATTTCTCATTAGGTGGGGATGCGCTCGTCTCCACTCCGTCCTGCCGGGTCATGGGCTCCATGGGCCCCGAGCACCCCAGCTCCGTGCTCTCTGGCTTTGGTCCAGCACTGCCACGGGGCTCTGTCCCCATGCAGGAGCAAAAAGAAGTGCTGGGGTGCTTCATCCCCTCCCCAAAATGACCGGGATGAAGATGTCCTCCCAGCCATGGATGGGTGGTGCCAGGCAGAGTTTCCTTTTCAGGGAAGAAGCTCAGGCCATTTTTTTGAGGCAATGCCCCAGAGTGACCCCTGGGTGTTTTAGCGCTGATTTGGGGTCTGCGGCTTTGCCCAGGCTGCTCTCAGCCCCTTCTTGGCCATTTTTCCTCCCCCGGGCTCCCATACTCTCCCTCAGGTACTCAGCACCCCGGGGCTGTGCTGTGCCTCACTGGGGCTCCTGCACCCCGGTGCACCAACACATGGGTGAGGCTGAGCATGCACAAAAATTGGGTTTGCCACCAGCTTGGCTGCTAAATCCAAGTGGTGCAAGTGCCTTCCCGAAGCCTGTGGCCGCGCGGCATCCGTACGGCTCCTCTCGGGGATTGCCACCCACGCTGGTTGTGCTCCCATAAGGGCGAGGACCCGATTCCCCAGACTAACGGGCTGCACTAACGCTCCTCGTAACGCGCTTCCTCCCTCTCGCATGGGGCTGCGGCCAGCACGATGCAGAGCGTGAAACCGGAGGGGCTTTGGAGAAGCTGTGGGGCACGGGATGCTTCCGACAGGGTGAGGGAGGAGTCGATAGCACTGCACCCAAACCTTGGGGTTTGGCTCTTTTGGGAGGCGGGGGGGAGAAAAAAAAAAATCCAAAGGGACAATTTCCACCAGGCTGGAAAGGCAGCGGAGTCGAACCCAGTGACGTGTGACACCGTCTGAGCTCCTTGCTGGACACAGTTTCTAAATCACTTTTTTATAATGTTAAACAGGGGAGAGACACTTCCAGCAACACGTTATCCTTGAGACGTTTTCTAATGGTAAATATTTTTGTTCTCTCTATCTCTACGAAGGGGTCTAACTGTAGACGGTCTCTCACCTCGAGATCATAACCGGGCTCGGGGGGCCGCGCTAACCGCATGCCTCACTAACCCTGTCCCCCGCTGCTGCTTTTAAACCCCGCAGAGCAAGCCTGGCCTCGGGCTGCAGGCAGACTTTGCTTTTGGGAGCCAGAGAAAGAACCCCTCCCCTGGCTGCGCTTGCATGAGGCGGGGGCTCTCGCATTGCTTTGGTCGATCCAGCCCGGTGCAGGGGGTGATCATCTGCTTTCCAGTGGCTGCGGCGAGGGTTATCCCCCCCCACCGCCGAGAGGAGCTAGCGGTGGGCTGCCAGCAGCTTCGTGATGGGGAGGGGGATGCTCGTGCCCGTCTCCGTGCTCTGCGCTCCCAAATTTCCCCCTTCCCGGAGCCCACCCGCTTCGCTGCCGGTCCCCTCTGCGGGTGCGGGGACATTCAGGGTGTCCCCAGGGTTTGGCCCAGCGAAGCTGCTAACCATGCTCAGAGGCACCCAGCCCAACGCTGCAGCAAACTGCAGAGCTCCAATGACCCTGTATCGGGCTGGGCACCTTGGCTGCTTCCCCAAGGATTTCCTTGCAACCCCCGTCAGGTCTCTAAGCCCTTCACGAAGGTAAGGCGACGCCTCCGCTCTGCCAGCGAGGAATCCGAGGCGGTCGGAAGGTGCAGCGACTTGTCTGCGGTGGGGAATCTCGTTCGTAGATGTGCCGGGTGCATGCAAACTCCTGGAGGAGCTGTGGGTGCGCAGCTCGCCGGTGGCAGGGAGCACTGACCGTGGCTTTTGGGGGGCTCTGCAGAGCCTTTCCCGCAGGGGTGGAAGAAAGGGGGACCCCCAGCTGCACGCCGTCACCGTGCTCCCGGTTGTAATCCCTCCGAACACCGTGCGGTTATCTCCTTAGGCTTGAGGGAGGCCACACCTTGAACACTGTGTTCAGTTTTGGGCCCCTCGCTACAAGAAAGACGTTGCGTTGCTGGAGCGT